GTGCTCTAAAATGCATACTTCAAGCATATCACCCCAACATTTTGTTTTCACTTTACAGGTCATGTGAACAAAGCTATTGGTACTAAAAGGTAAAAGTGGTCTTTGGTTTACAGTTTACACTAGTGCTATAATGGTGATACAGAAAACCTCATACTAGCACTGACCGTAGCAAGTTATAAAAGTAGCAGCAGCAGTAATAAATGAGTAGACCTGGTGATGTAGAGGCCACGCAGTAGTTATGCTTGAGGTAACATAAATAGTAGATTAGAACCTGCAGGCTTTTAACCACTGACCTGTCAGTACGAGGATCTGCCTGATATATTTTTTGAACAATAAAACATACTATTTGGTCAATGTAAAGGGAGCACTGATGAGGCAAAAATGAAATCCCACTGATAAAGCTCTGTAAATGATTATAATTTGTAGGGACGGACTTATTGTGTTTTGTATTTTTGTGAACTTATGAGGCGCTTTCATTAAAAGGGGAATTCCACTGATTTTTCAAACTTTCTGTGTAATTCAATTGTTCAGATGTAAACAAAGTCATTCAGAGTGGTTTGATGTGAAACGCTTCGTTCTAGAGAAACAGTGATCTCCTTCATTATTGGCACCCCTGGTAAACTTAAGCAAAATGGATTGTAAAACATTCTTTGTTTCTTATCCTTTAGATCTACCTTTACATTCAAAATTTGAACAGAAAGCTAACATTTATTTGAAGTACAATTGAATGAAAAAACTAAATCTGATCATGAAAATATTTTTTTACAAATCTAAGCATGCCACAAATGTTGGCACAATAGAAATTTTTAAGGGTGAAATCTAACTGAAGTTTATTCACATTCATAATTTATGTTTTTAAGTTCACCTGAGCGATTAGGAACATTTAAATGGTCAGTCATGACTTCCTCATTCACTTGGGAATATATATGAGATGACACACAGGCCAAGTTCTCTCAGTCATCCACCATTATAGGAAAGTCCAGAGAATACAATCGATGTGTGAAAAAAGATTTTTGAGGCACAAAAATCAGAAGGTGGCTACAAGAAAATAGCTAAACAGCTGAAAATGCCCATTTCCAATAATTAAGAAGTTTAAAACAAATGCAGATGTTATGAATCTTGTATGTCAATATTAACCCTACATACAATGAGGAGGATGTTTTCAGTGGCCAAAGAATCTCCAAGGATCACAGATAGGGAGCCCATTGTGAAGTATGGTGGTGGATCTGTGATGTTGCAGGGCAGTATTTCTTCCAAAGGCCAGTTTGGACAGTTTGATCGGTATTATGGACTTCTTCAAGTTCCAGCAGACATTAGATAAATACCTGACTGCCTTAGCAGATCAGTGATCCAAACCACACCTCAAAATCAACACAAAAATTGTTCATTGACCACAGAATCATGGTTTTGCCATGACCATACCAGTCGCCTGACATAAACACCATAGAAAACCTGTGGCTGAACTGAAGACAGTCCACAAGAGTGGACCATGGAATCTGAAGGATCTGGAGAGGTTCTGTATGGAGGAATGGTCTCAGATCCTTTGCCATTTGTTCTCCAGTCTCATTAAGCATTATAGGAGAAGACTCAGAGCTATTATTATTGCAAAGGGAGGCTGCAAAGTGTATTAAATGAAGGGGTACCAAGAACTATAGCACACATAGATTTTTAAAAAAATTATTCAAATTGTATTTCAAATAAAGGTTACATTTTTGTTAATATTTTGAATGAAAGATCAAAAGGATAAACAATAAATAATGTTTTTACAGTCCATTTTGCTCAAGTTTACCAGGGGTGCCAGTATTTGTTAAGTGCACTGTATATTAGTGATTAAGTGATCAATATCATATACTAGTTGTTTATTATTGTCAAAGTTATTGCTGCTTAAGATTAGTATCAGTAAATCAATAATTGTACATTGTCATTTTGATTAGGCCCTAATCAGTATATGATGAAAGTTTGGTGTCTGTCTGAAGTCTTGGACTCATACTGTGGGCTTTGGTTTGGGAATGACCCCAGCACTCAGTGACACTGATATTATAAAGACAGATAGTGCTTGCCTTAATGGCAGTGCTGTGAGGTGACTGGCCTGTCCTGGAGATTTATAAACTCCTGCATTAAAAATAAAACTTGGTGCACGTCGACCATGCCGACTGAGTTACAGCAGTCAATAAATGTTTAATGGTCCTCTTTTTCAATTATATAGCCGCCTTCTTTTTAGCACTTTTATTTTTTCTACACTCCTCAAAGACAGATTGATGCTAACATGCACTGTACTAGTCAGGCAGTCATGCTCTGTAGTGTGCTTGTGTAGAATTGGTTGTGTTTTCCAAAATGAGCTGCATACAGACTCTTTCATGCATCTGCATGTTACCCTGATGTAAATGTACAGTGTATAATAAAAAAGGATTTCACTATAGATTACTGGGAAAAGGATATCAGTATACCCTCTACCTCTCTTTCACTGATTGTGCACTCTTTTATCGTTGGATAAGATTCAGAAAAGCAATTTCACTCTACTAGTCTCAATGACTTTTTCCTGGGACTTAAATTATGTGTGTTCAATGGACTGTTCCACTATCAGTTCCACTTGACCAACATCTCACACTGGTGTTCTGATGTGTTGGCCTACAAGGTTACTGTAGCCATGCTGGGTTTGTTTTGTAGTGCATTATCTTTGCATTTTGCTAAATGAAAACCTCAGTTCAGGGATGTGTATCAGACTCTGAAGAAAGTAATGTTGCAAAATAAGAAGATTCAGATCAAGGCGGTTCCTTGAAAATGGGGAAACACAAAACTCAACCTTTTTCAATTGGGTTTAAGTTAATATACTGTTAGGTTACTGTAACCTGCATAAAAATGTTACATTAATGTAATAAATCTATAAAACTATATATATATATATATATATTGAAGTATCTGTATTCAGTCCAAGTTACGTTTTATAAGAGCAGTATTCAGAACACAGTTACCTTTTTACACTTTTAGAATACTTTTAGAATACTAGAATACTATATATATATAATCTTTAAACAAAACACCATCAAATCCCGTTCATTTTAAAATCAGCACACAGCATGTAAAGACGTACTCTAAAGAACTGGCTTGTTTACAAACACTGAAGTTTCTGATAAAGCCTGGTATAGACTGATAAATCACTATGACGAGCCAGTTAAACTGAGCATTAGTGAACTGTTTTGAGGGATGGCTGAACTGAACTGTCTCCTCAGTAGTGCATATATGTTCACTTATGAGTGATAAGCTTAGCTTTGTTATTCTACTGGACTTGTGCCTGCACTCCGAGGCAAGTTTCAGGCATATCATTAACTGAAAATCACATAGCTACTTTCTTTATAGTCAGATTTCCAAGATCTTGTTATTGGGACATGATGAGTTGTTTGCATAGTTCATGAAATGGCAGTGGGATTATGGGAGCAGCAGAGGACCGAAGCAAGTGATGTTTACAATTTTGTATTTATTTTTGTATTCATATGAATAATTCGATTTTTCATGTAACATATCAACAGAATAATTACATGAATATAAATGCCAACCAGTAGGCTAGCAGCATGGAATAGTGTGAATTAAATAAATTCACTGTACTATGTATTCTATCCGCATGTATTGTAAATGTATTCTGAATTCATTGTATTGGAATACATTACTGAACACATTTTGGACAGTGAATTTAGTATTCAGATATCACTACTTTTTCAAAGTACTTTGCCCAACCCTGTGGATATTTCTGCTGAAGCAGCTTTTAAACGCATTGGTTTGGCTTTTGTCAGAGCTCCACAAACCTGATTGTGTACATTGTTACAAATGAGTAGTGAGCTAAAGGATGATAACACTAACACTAACGTAAAAATAGCAGTCTGTATTTTAAAGAGCAGTGGTGGACAGTGAAAGTAAAAGTGTTGAATGTTCATTGTTTCCTACTGTGTAGGGGTTGGTGATATGGCAAAAATATAAAAATACAAGACATTTTCTCTTTATATGATAGGTATTGCAATTTGATTGATTGGTACAGAGATAAGGAAAGTTATTCCACATTTAAAAATTACCATAAAAAATAATGACAATTATTTTTTAGTATTTTTTCTTCACATGTGCCACTGTATCAATGTCAGTCCACTTAACCAAGGCTCATAATGCTCTCTTTATAATGAAACATGCAGTTGGTGAGTGTTCTCTGAGTATACTGACTACACCCACAACATGCTCAGAAAATCAAATTGTGACAAAATGGGACGTCATTTATCCCAGTAACAATAAGTATTGTCTTATTGCCCACTCTTCCTACACAGTGCAGGTTTCAATGGGAAGCCAGACTAACATGATATTATTTCACTTCAAGCCGCTTCGTATGCCTGTGTAATTTGCAGTGTTGCGGCACAGTTGATTTTGTCAGAGCGGAAAGTGAACAAAGAAGGACAATTCACTCTACCGTTTTGGCTTTTGATGCACACGTTTTACTCCTAAGAAGGTAAAAAGTTGTTTTTTTTTCAGCATTTCATTCCCCTGCATGGAGAGAGAAAGCCGAGTATGAGTCACAGCGCAGCTGTGAAATGCTCTTAGGCAGGGGTGGGATGAGATGAGCAGAGCCTCCATTTGTTTAGGCTATTCAAAGAAATCTGTTCTGCTCAGGGCTGCAGCATGCCAAATGCTAAGATTACTATAGCATATTCTTGTCAGAATCCCACTGATATTTATGGTAATTCTTTTTTTGGGTCAAAACGCAAGCACCCTGTAGCACTGTTGCAGTGGAATTCTTGCACTGCGCTTTGAAGAAGCCTTCTTAAACTTGACCGTGATCCCTGGCTGGTCCTGATTGTAGCCAGCAACAGGCTAGCTAGGCGGTCTGTTGTTGTTATGGTCCATGGTGCTTAAAAAGTTCCATTCATCCTTCTGTTCATGTAGCGGTCATGAAGTTGGATAATCCCAGTGTTCCGGGGTCAAGCTAGGGTGTCACTCACTGTTTGTACCTTTCCCTCTCCTAGACCATCGTGCGGGGAAGCAGGCCACCCAAGGATGCTTCCATCAACGGCCTGCTGGAGGAGTTCGACAGCATTTCCGTGACGCGCTCCAACTCTCTTCGCAAGGAGAGCCCGCCAGGAGCGCACCAGGCCGGATCCAGCAAGCAGCCCTCTGTGGCCTCAGCAAACGCCAGCAGTAGCGGTGGCCCAGAGGAGAACGGCTTCAGCCACTACTACGCCCGCTATTCCTGCGACCTGGACAGCAGCAGGGACTTCTCATTGGACCCGTACCGGGATAAGGGTGGCTATGATGGAGAGTGGGCCGTGGGACGCCACTACCGATTCTCCGTTAGACAGAACGGTCATCCTGTTCGGAGCCCCTTCTACCCAGACGCCATGCCCCAGAAGACCTCAGACTATGCCAAGTTGCCACCAGACTATCATGCCTACCTGGAGAGCAAGGTGCGCCTGTCGGCTGATGAGATGGGTGCCAGCAGCAGCAGGGACTACTACAGGGCCTCTCTTGGAGGGTCCAGTCAGGATTACCTGGGCACGCCGTCGCGGGCTTCTTTGCACAGCGAGCAGATGAGCTACCCAGATGGAGACTGGGGTGGAGGGGCTTATGGCCCCGGCTTGAGGGACGACTATGAGAAAAGGCCCAAGTCATCATACATCTCCCAGACCAGCCCTCAGCCAGCCATCCGCCAGCGTTCCAGATCAGGCTCGGGCCTGCAGGAGCCCAGCCTGCCCTATGGGATCAGTGCCTTCAAGGCCGCACCACAGGGCCCCTACAGCTCCTACACCTACCCTCGGCTCTCTGAAAACACCTCTGCTTCCCAGATCATCGGCAAGGTAATCCAACAATCCATTTTCTTCTTTTTCATCTATCACAGAATGTCACGTGGTTTGGGTGTGACTCCTGTGTAACAATGCAATCTTGTCTAAATCATGTTCAGTATCTGAAAAACACAGGTTCACCAGGTTAATTTTAACATGGTGACATGTTGCAAATCACATGTAACAGGATAAAATCTCTCTAACTAGAGAAAACAGAGAAATCTTTCAGCCATGTTCCGTAGTAAAAAGAAATTAGTGTCACCACTGTAATTTTTTCTCTAGTAACATTTAGGTGAAGGTGGTTAAAGGTGTATTTTTTTTTCAAATATATTATTTCTGAGTTGCACTCCTAACTGTTTTGCCATGTTTTGCTTTTTTATTTTTTATTATTTTCTGTTTATTTGTTATTTAATGTATTGTTTGTAAATCATAATCACAGTACTTAAATGCCAGAAGGCTGCAGTATGAAATGAGCCCTTTAACTGCTCATTGTGCTTTTTATCTTCACTAATCACAGTCATAGAAGTTCCAAATGTGTTTTATCAAAGTATTCATGTAATCCAGTATTTATTATTGCTGGTGAAATTATTCTGGTTAAAATGAAAAAAAAAAAAAACTCTAACCGTGTCATATTATTGATTCACCCTCACATTTTTGATATATTGCAAGGTGCATTACAGTTGCAATGTAATGTAATGATTGCAGTACTAGTATTCGGACCATATCATTCAGCCCTCGTTTGCACTATTGTTGGTCACTATAGGGCTGTCACAGTTACCTAATTAAAATTGATCACCCCATTAAAAAAAATAATATTAAAATTCACATTCTCTGTGAATTAACTTACAAATGATTTTAAATGGTAAACAGAGTATCTTCAGGTCCAAATAATGTTGTTTAGCAGGTCAAAAAGTCTCTACAAGGTACAGCTAATAGCACTCTTTTTTGTGTCAGTTTGTTACAAATTGTGTGTATATGAAGTAAAAGTTTAGGCTGACAGACTAACAGACTACTCCAATAGTATATAATCCAAATAACTAAAAAATCCTCAAATGTCCATGTTTAGGCAGGGTTTAAGGAGTACTAAACCTTATGTGGAAAGAGAACATCACTGCTAGATTTCCATAAAATCACTAGTGTAAATTAGCACTAGAGCATTAGAGGTGGTACCTGGGCGTACTAATAAAGTGAAGATTGCTCAATATGGCAATTAATCCAGGGTCTGAAGTATTTTATTTTTCACCTAAACCCATTCTATTTTTTGGCTTAAAAAAAAAACACAAAACAGCCCTAACAAAAATGAACAGATTACACAATTAATTATCAAAATAATCACTAGCTTACTCAAATACTCATATAATTGATTGTGACAGACTTAATCTAATGTAATGTAACTGAAAGTTTTAAACTTTATACAAGATCACAAGTTACACTGAGTAGAGATAGTCATGTCATCCATAACAGTATCACAAACCTTTAAGAAAAAGATCTTAAGAACATTTAAAACATTTACAAATGGTTAACACTGTTCTATGTAGGCTTATGATTTTAAAGTCATTTATAATTTTGCAGTAAATGTCCTGCAGAAGGCCGTTAACCTTACCCCAACTCCACCCTGACCCCCTTGACCCGAGCACATATAGATAGGGTTTTATCTCCCGAGTCGCATCTCGCCGCAGGCCGGAATGCTCTTATGCTCTGCAGTACTGGCTCTGTGATGGATCTCATGTCACCGCTTAATCTACTCGCCTCGAACGGGAGCTGGGCTGCCAAAGACACAGAATTACTTTTACGAGAGTGGTGCAGAAATCAATTAACGGAACACTGGCAATCTCACCGATAACAGCAGTTCATCCGAGACTTGGAGGCGAGGCCCTGTGTAAAGCACACAGAGCTTTAGTGTGTTAAACAGCCTTGGAGAGATCTGCTTTGTGAATGCAATGCTGCAGTTTTATTGGGTAAATTAAGCAGAACCCAGAAATCTTTCATAATAATAAATTGTGTATCTTTACAGTTCTTGTACAAATATCCCACATAACACGTCAAAACACATTCTGTCGAATTTCTAGTATTGTGTGTTAGCCTGTATTTTAACTACGGTATTGCTAAGACACCATTTTTTGGCATGTCCACTGTTTTATGCTGTATACTTCAAACGATGAAAGAACTAAATGTAATCAAACTACCACCGAACACGGTGTTATAAATATGCCTAAGAGAACTCTGAGCAGTGCTGATGGCTCCGTGCAGTGATGCAGTCAACCATCTGACACCATGTGGACCAATCACAGTCAGGGGGAGGTCTAAAAAAATGACATGCTGATTAGGTGTTCCGTTCGACGCACGCTTCACTGTACAAACTCAAACAACCACATCATTTTGGCCAAAAAGACTATTTTATTTGAAATATACTGCAGACTGAAGTTGAAATGCACACAAACCACCTGCTTTTCTGATCTTAATAAGCACTGAAGAAAATGTTACGTCTTATTACGCACAGATCATTGCCCAACAGAGGAAATAACTTGAAAATCAAAATTGAATCAAAGCTACAGATATGATATAGACCTGATTTGGTATTATATTATAAGGCATTATATCCTACATGAAGAATGCAAAGGGCTATTATATCAAAGTGAATTCTTTTGCAAACTATTTTCAAAGGCCAGGTGCGACCCCTTCTCATCCTATACAGCCTTACCAAGAGCTAACAAAGCAGGACAGGAGTAAGTAAGCTAATGCTGTTAAAAATACTCTTCCTGATTTTAGCATAAACCCACTTGCTATATTATGTACTAATGCAGTTCATAATGAATATAGCTTAATGCATATTGCCTCAGTACATAGTGAATAAACCATTTACATGTGTCTAATTTAGGCTTTACTGAACATAAAACAAGACCTTAATAAACTCCCAATATGTTTTACATAAAATGAAGTGTTACATTTATTTATTTATTTATTTATTTATTAGTTAGTTAGTTAGTTAGTTATACATTTGCCTGCCTGTTCATTTTCAGCATAAGCTAAATTTTGTCTTGTCATGGTGTCTCTTTTACCCTTTACCATCCACCTAGTCTCTTTATTTATTTACTGACCAGCTGTTGTATATGGTGTGACACAGACATGAAAAGGATTCACTACAGCTCTTTACGCAGCAATAGAAGTGTTTCCCATTCATCTCGATACTCAGCCTTTGATAAACTCACCTCTATCTTCAGCGCAGGTCTCATAGCGAACAAAGGGTCTTTTTCTGCTGCTGTGGGCCACTATGTATAAAAGTGGACAGCTTGGGGACTTGGAAACACACACACACACACGCAAGTAAGAGCCGCAGCTCATTGTGACAAATTGATGTTGCGGCACTTTCCTTTTCTGCAGCCTTTGCATAAAAGCGGCCGCACGATGTTCCAGCACGGAATTCAATTTCACAGTTCAGTTGGGTTGTTGATTACACTGCCAAATTCAGATTAATGTGCGTTTAACGAACATGGATCAGGAGACCCCTGGCTGACAGCCAGCCAGCGGTGTTGGAGAACGATAGCTTTGCCCGCGCAGAGGGGTCCCGGGATCTTCCGTCCCGCGAGCGCTTCAGCAGAAGATGATTGATTAAAGGAGTCCGCGGGCGTAATTACACACCCCTGCCGCAACACCCAGCTCTGCTGCACCAGCCTCCCTGCACCGGGCCGCTCATCATAAGGCATTTAAAAGGACTATCCGTGTCCTGTCATCGTGAATTTGTGTTGGGTGGGTGTGGTGGGGGTAATTTAATTTACCGCCCATCCCGACCCCACTGAGGCAGGGGAAGTATCTTATGGGATTTGTTTAAAGGCAGCAAAACTGGAAGGATTTCCTGTCTATTCCTTATTCCTGTTTGATGTTTTGTAGAAGTGTAGCAAGAAAAGCAGAAGTAATTTGTAAATTTATTTGCTGTATATATATATATATATATATATATATATATATATATATATATATACACACACATATATATTTCTAGAGCCAATACAATAGGACACCCTAGAGCAGCCAAACATGCCCAATGCCAAGCATCAACAAGAGGGATACAAAGCGTTCCATCACCGGGCTGAGTAAACTGCATTCTCTGGAAAGATGGAGCACCATGCAATACCTATAGTCTAATTTTCTTTCATATTTCCTGTATATATATATATATATATATATATATATATATATATATATATATGTGTGTGTGTGTGTGTGTGTGTATCTGTTATTACTCTTTGTTGTGCCTTATGGAGGTCAGTGTTTTCTCAGTAGTAGTAGTAGTCAGTCGTCAACTCAGCATCCAGTGTGCTGAGTCATCAGAGCCTGCATGTCTCTATTTTAGTGCTACGGGTGACTCCATCATTGAACACATAGAGTCACATTCTCAATATGCTGATGTGTCATTTTAATATCATACATTTTTTTACTGTATAGACTGTATTTTTTATACCTCTGTCAATCTATCTATGTATCTATCTATCTATCTATCTATATATATATATATATATATATATATATATATATATATATATATATATATATGTTGTATACCTTTGCTGTGTTTGTACCTGCTTTTAGGGCTTTACTGGAGCTTTGCTTGATAAATTGCATTGGCAAGCAAGCCGCACATTAACTGTGTGGTGGGTGTTTCCTTGGAAAGCTTTAGCTCCTTGATAAATTAGGCTTTAAGAGTCGTTGTACGCTAGTAATTAGAAAGTATTATTGCTGTCGTTTGGCCTAAATATGCTTGACTGATCTGCCATGTGGGAACTTTTCTCCACAGCAAAATCCCCTGTGTTGCACTACAGCTGTGGTGTTAAATTAACAGCTACGGTATTGAATTAACTCTTACAGTATCTGTGCCCAGCTGGACTTATAAACACACTGTAGGGATTATTGGACTTTACTGTGTTAAAACAAATTAAAAGTTGTATGCATTTGCTACCTAATCTATAATTGAGTCACTTTTCACCCAGAAAAACATCTTCATATTTACACAACTCTTATTTTTCTAGTGATGACAATATTGTTTTTGTATGTCAAAGAAATGAGATGTACTCATTTAAATGTTGCCTGTCATCAAACTTTATTTTTGACGAAAAAGGCCTCAGAATTTGCAATGCATTTTTAGACAATATTCAAATTGATGAGAATATTTGGGGCAAGATTAACACTTTTTTATCCAAGAGTGATAATGCACTTACACACATATATAAAAGTACACTGACAAGGGCACACTCACATTCTCATAGACACACAGGGAAATCTACTGATGTTAGTGATTGTTTTAGTCATGTTTTTTTACCATCACTTGTAATAAAAGCAGATAAGGTGTGAGGAGGGAAAGAGAAAAATGATGTGATGTGCAGCTTACCTCTAGAAGAATAGCTAACCTTAGATTTCTCTTGAAAGTAAAATGACTTAAATGTCTTCATGTTTGAGAGTTTCAGATTTATATTTATTGTTGAACTTAGCTATTACAATACTGTGCAAACATCCATCCTTAATTTATTTTAATTTCTGGTCAAAACAATATGTAAAGCTGTCAGAGATAGCATTAAATCAAGCTCTGTCCATCCTTCTACTGTGAGGAGAAAACTCAACACTTAATGTAAAAAGATTTTATTTCAAGTTCAATGCTTCAAATTTTGAAGCATTTCTGTAAGTCCTATCATCATGAAATTGTCACACAATGTGAAGGACAGCTGCCATGTTCAAAAGATGTTGAATAATAAAAAATGACATAAATGGACATGTTTTTCTTTAAACAGCAAAGATGTGTTTTCTTTGTTTTCGTGACACTGAAAAATGAATAATGTGCTTAATGGGTTAATTTTGACTGGCAGTTTATTAATGAAAATGCATATGTGGTTAGTCGGATTGAAATTCAGTTGCTATATGCATATTCATCTCATAACACAAAAAACTGTTTCTGTGTTTCAGTTTTTTCCTGCTCTGTGGATAAGATGGTTGCTGCTTCTTTAAGATGGTTGCTGCTTCTTTCTGTAGTCGTTATGTTCATCAAGCATGTGTATATGATGTAATACAGGATGATTCAAAAAGATTTCAAAACCATTTATTTCACTTGTAAATCTATCAGAACAATGCAGTAAATTGTAAATGGTTTAAGTGAGCATAAAGTTTATTATGTAATTGTACAAGTGCTCAATATAAACCTCCTCCAGCTGTACAGACATCAACGCCATAGTCAAATTCATCCTATACTCATTTGAGCATGTCGGGTGTCACTGTACTCACAGCTCTTTCAAAGCAATTTCGGAGATCATCCAGTGTCGTGGAACCAACAATGAACGCTCTGAGCTGTTGGAGCTTCACTGCTGATGAAAATCACGTTGCACTGTCATGACGGATTCACTCTTATTGAAGTGGAGAGCGCAAAATGCTTTCTGCTCAGGGGTCGCCTCTCCTCACAGACTGAAGGGAGCCATCTTCCAGTCACAGTCAGAAACTCTATGACCCCCTCTTTCAATTGGTATGTGATTGGTTCCTGGGTGCCTCACTGTTGTAAAAATATGGCGCTTTGAAATTGGATGAATCTTTTTGAATCACCCTGTATATTGGAAGGGGTCTGGTCTTTGAGAGATTTAAAGCCGTTATAAATGCATCTGTTTTTATGAGGATAATCGCTATATGCTTACTACAGATGGATTAAATGATCAGGTGTAAATGAGATTAAATGCTAGAATATGTCATAATTATACTTTTGCTTCTCTTTGTGTGTTGAACAGGGCGACTATGACAGGATGTCACGAGATGGGAGTCCGCAGGTGCCTGGAGCCGAGACGTACTCCAGAGGCCCCCTCAAACTACCTCAGAGCCATGGCAAGCCCGGCTACCCACCTAGCTTTCAGTACCCACCTGCCTTTCACTACAAGCCCTCACCCTACCACCATCCCCCCTCACAACCTAGCCCTCCATACACCCCACAGGGGGCACACTCCCAGCCCTCTTCACCTTACATCCCCCCTGGAGCCTACCCCCCACCCAGCTGGGGCTCGTCCTCTGAGCAGCCGCCCTCTCGGGTGTCTCACGAGCAGTTTCCGGGCTGCACTGCAGTTAGTGGTTAACCCTGGTGACCCGCGGGAGTACCTGGACAACTTCCTGAAGATTGGTGAGGGCTCCACGGGCATTGTGTGCATCGCTACAGAGAAGCATAGCGGCAAGCAGGTGGCTGTAAAAAAGATGGACCTAAGAAAACAGCAGCGACGTGAGCTGCTCTTCAATGAGGTAAGAGAGGCAAACTGAACGAGAATGGCCTCTAGTTTTAATGCATCTGACAGATTTTAAACCGGCAGACATGAAGGCTTGAAGAGTTATATGCAAAAGTTTGACCACCCCTGGCCAAATTAAGTTAGTAAGCATATTGTCTATGGGGAATATATGGCATTTTTGGCAAATGGCAAGTATGGCATTTTCTTTGCTGTATTAGTGCAAAATTTAATTTTTGTTCATTTTTTGAGTTTAACTTATTAAACCATAAAGCACAAAATGTAGCAGAGATCTTGCAAATGCCATTTTTTACATTTTATTTTTTATTTCAGCAAGTAAACTGTAATTGTGCATTAAAATGTGTTTTCTGTAAAGGATGTACTTATTTTCACTTACAAGGTGAAAAAACATGTAATTTGACCAGGGGCACCCAATTTTTTTGCATATGTGTGTATATATTTAGTGTGTTGGCTTTAATTAAAGCGACAAGTCATTAGAGGCCTCATATTACAGTGATTTTACAGTAATGTTGTGCACTTAAAAGTCACAGAATTGGCACTTAAAGTAAAAAGGTAAAGTAAACAACATGCTAAAGTATAGCCTCCAAAAAGCAGCTCAAACAATATGGAACTGTATTGAATTTATTGCGTTTTCATCAACTCATTGGAGTTTTCTAGTAATTGTTACTATTAGCCCCTCAATCTGTTGTAATTAACACTGCCTGTGTGGGAAGTTGTAACATTTCCACTCAATGTTTCCATTCCATATCTAATCATCAGAAGACAGGAATAGTACTCGTAATAAATAATGCATAGAAACATTCAAAGTTATATGTGAAGCATATTTGGAAATAAAAAATATATTAGTAATATGTGAATGTAAAGTAGTAGCTAAAGGCAGAGGTTTTGTATCCCAGTTTGTATTCAGTTTAGTGTATCACTCTTTCACTTATTAAACTCTGTCACTTATTAACCTCCCTTCAGATATAATATTAGCATACTGGTATTAACAAATGAAATCTCATAGCAATTTATATTAATTATTTAATAACTTATGTCAAACAGTCCAATCAAACTATGTACTTGAGTGTTGAAAGTGGGATCCATGGGCTTTCTGTGATGTTCAAACAGCTGATTTTGATGAAGAAAGACCCAAACAAACCGTTCATTTGACACAACTTTGTGGAAGTCGTTCTGCAGTGAGATCCTTAATTAGAAATTGTATCAGTGTAAATAGAGTCTTGATTTTGTTTGTTTGTTTGTTTGTTTTGAAGATACTATTAGACTTGATATCAGCAATGTGCTGCATCTCATGGTGTTTTTTTAATTACTAATTCCAATCAAGCTTTGCTTTGAAATAGGACTGAAAACAGATTTGTGTTCACTGCGTATTTGTTAATGTATAGCTGGCTTTAAGTATTGTTTTTCAGAGAATATTTATCATAATAATGAGCCTTCATTGATCTAAAAAATGTAGTAGTGCGCACAGCTATGTAACATTATTGATGTTATGTAGTTGGAGAATGTCCTGTTATATATTTACAATACTGTGCAAAAGTCAGACCCACCCTGTCATTTATTGAATTTCCAGTAAAAATGGTCAGTAAGTACAAGTTGGTATTTTCAAGTGTTAGGAAAAAGGCTATATATAAAACTATATATTTTAAATAAATTGAACAGAAAATAACAGAAGCTTCAACAATTATTACAATATAATATATACAAATAATATCATTTATTTTCAGTATTTAGTGTGTTCAGCCTTTGCCTTTGTTACAGCCTGTATTCTTTTGAGGAGACTTGCTTTCAGTTTTTAAAAGTAATCTGCAGGGATATTTTTCCACACCTCCGAAGTTCAGTCTACATTAAGTGATGTTGAGGTCTGGACTCTGGGGTGGTCAGGCTATTATGAATACCAGCAGCTTCTTTGTTTGATGTGCAACTTTTCTACTTTTTTGTTTCCTTTTATTTCCTTTTCTCAGTAACAGCTTCTTGACAGCTACACATCCTTTCAGATTATTTTACACATCCTTTCAGATTATTTTACACATCCTTTCAGATTATCTTATTTTGAATATCCTGCTGAATAAAAAAATAATAAATAATAATATGAATAATGACCATTTTGACTGGAAATAAAGTTAATAAAGTGTTCTGTGACTTTTTCACAGTACTGTATTTATAACCTGTATTATGTGTGCATATATGAGATACATGTACATATATGCGTACATTTTTTAAATTTAATTTATTAAAGTATTTTAGATTGTCTCCATAAAATTGTATGCGGACTGTGTGGCCTTTTTGCAGACTGGCTTATCGGTGCTGTGCTGTTTGTTTGCTGCAGGTGGTGATTATGAGGGACTACCACCATGAAAACGTGGTGGACATGTATAATAGCTATCTGGTGGGAGATGAACTCTGGGTGGTGATGGAGTTCCTGGAAGGCGGAGCCTTGACAGACATTGTCACGCACACAAGGTAATGATGGATAGCAGGACACATTTTAGACCACAGACCAACAAGGACCCCTTAAGCTCTGAGGACCTGTGAGCGTTCCAGCCTGCAGTTCCTCACTATCATAACTACATGACTTATGCGTTAGTTTCATGGTGGCTTCTGAATAATTCATAGTAGTTACTGACTGATAAACGTTAAGATTGTTTTAAGGGGTTAAAGAGAGAACGGTCCGATTACATGTCTTATTACATAAGCAAAAGAACTGTAATTGGGGTTCATGTTGAAGTGTAGCTTTTTACAAAAGGTGATGATTTTTACACGTGAGCTGAATATTGCAGGTAGGCAGCGCAAACTTATTCCCAATAATTTCCAAAGTCTGCTGCTGCTGAGTTTGGGTTTTAAACAACAGATTGCGAGTCTACGCACACTTTTAAGTGTATGCATAATTACAGTCATTGGCATTGTACATCAGCTTCGTGTGGCACGGTGTTCGGTTCTAATTGCATGCTTTCAAGAGGATGGGCGCCCCCCGTCTGCGTGGAAGTCGTGAGATCACTAGCAGAGTCTTCATTAGACTTCGAGGAGGTGTGAGCTCAGCTGCTTTCACTTTCCCATTCCTTTTATTTCAGTGCATCATGAGCTGTTTGACTTGCTAATAGAGAGCTGTGCAAAACGCCTGTTGTCTCTGTGAGTGTAATGCTAATATGTTCCCTTTCACGCTTGGAGAGAGAGCGAGAGAAAGAGAGGGGAGCGCTAGCTGGAGAAGAGTGCAGTTCTTTGTGTCCTGATGAATTATGAACTGATCAAAAGGTGTCAACAAAGCCTCTTCAGAGAGATACGATCACTTACAGTAAGCGAGCAACACGCAAAGATTAGATCACAATTATAGTAAGTGGCACAGAGAAATATATCAGGTTACTCTGCATTCGCACTTCCACGGTACAGCACTCCTCACCATTTCAGAAGAAATGAGCTCTTTAAGAGGGTGGTGATTTCACTAGGGGTTCACTGCATTACTGCATTACATTACAGTTCTATGGAAAAAGCATTTTAAACTGAATGGATATGGCAGCACATTTAGATTTAGATTTAGACACATTGTGATCACAGAGAAACATGCTGTGTTTGTGCTCCTGGTTGAAGACATGCTCTCTCCAGCTGTGTATTGGGTTGCTGCCAAAACCTGCCAAATGCGCTGCTGTGTGTGGGATGTTCAAACAACAAGCCGATATCAATTAAAAACCAGGCTGAAATGAAAGTCGTGACAACGGTACATTTGTTTTGCACAAGCGGGTGATAAATTATAATAGGTGTGTGTGTTGTGATATGTGCACAAAGAGTTTTTATCCCTTTGTGAGAACCAAAATGTACGAAAATGTACATTTTGCTAACCCTGACAAGATCAGGGAACAGCTGTTTTTACCCCATATGCAGGCTTTTATGGAACAAAAAATTGTGGTGTTTCATAGGTGGCTATACAGTGCCTTTTACACAGTGTGCGTGCACCATGAATACAGCCTATTTCCACATATAATCAGGAAAGCATGTAAAAAAACTGTTCTAAAAGTGTTGTTTAAAAAGACATTAATATGAATTGAATAAAGTATAACATTTAAATCTAAGTAGAACGTTTTACATAATGTCACTCTTGTGCAAAAACCTTTTATGTCCATTCTTGTCGTTTTTTACTTTTTGGCATATTTTGAAAACTTTAGTAACCCTTTGCATTAATGATAAATGGACCAACATAAATAGTCCAAAATTACTTGGAAAAAGATGTTAAATTAACTTTCATTACAAAGTTATAATGTTTTTTTCTTCATCTTGGAGATACAAGGTTTTGTTCCGGCAGTGACGATGTGTTTCATTATCAAGTGTTCAAATTCATCAAAATGATTAAGGGGTGATCTCATATATATATATATATATATATATATATATATAGTTGTGTGCTAAAGGTAGGGCACCCCAAGTTAAATTACATTAATACATCCTCTTCAGAGAGCACACCTTTGCACACTTTAATGCATAATTTTTTGTTGTTTAATTTAACATACATAAAATGTGCCCTGTTTAGAAGTTAGGTGCGTTTTATATGTTTTATTTTCCCAGTATGTTAAACTCAGCAGATAAACAGAAATTGTGCACTAATATTTGCAGGAAAATGCCATGTTTAAGTTTGTTCTCTGTAAAGGATGTGTTAACTTATTTTCATAGAAAATACATATGTACATACATCTTTTAAGCAGCTTATCGTTCTGGGTCGCGGGGCAGAAATTTAATAAAATATGTCATTTGACCAGGCGTGCATGTGATTTTTGCATGTAAAATCACTATATTTCATTAGATTCCCAAACATAAATACAGTGAAGTAACAAGAATTTCAAGTATTGCGCTGCTGTTGGAAGAAAACCTTGTATCTCCATTTTTGTCGTTTTTCAGTTTTTGACATAATTTGAAAATACCTGTTACCCTTTACATGGTGTGTAAATTTAATGAAGAATGGACCAAAAGAAACGGTCTAAAATTACTGGTTCCATCGACTTACATTAAAAGTAATGTAGGTTTTTTCCTTTTCCTGTTATCATTTTGGAGATACAAGGTTTTCTTCTGACAACAGTGATTTGATATCCAGGAGATTTCAACTTGATGTTACATTTCATTAGCAGCTATTCTGGTTCAACATATTAGCTATGATTAGCTAAGCCAGGTTTTACCTGGGCTTTCTAAAAGCCAGACTTACACATTTTCATAAATTCACATAATTTGCTTTGACATGTTCACTTCTTTTGTAGATTACTGCCATTGATTAGCTATGCACTAACATCGAGCATTATGTTATCCAGTTTTATCAGTGTGATTGGATGAATGTGAAGTCTTTGCTGTCTGTGGAAACAGCTAAAATTAAATACACAGATGCAGACATATCTCTCACTATGATGAAATATTTGGAAAGTCACTCTTCTCAGACATGTATAAATGCTGTATACCTACATATACACAACACTCCACGCCATTTCTAGCTATGAGCAGTATAAACAGTGGCCTTGGGCCTGCAAGTATGTTTTCTTTATTTGATATTATTTGTCAAAAAGCACAATTAGCCCTGAGGTTTTCTTACGTGCTTTTTTTTTTTTAGCAAAATCCATTGCGTATGAATTTTTGTTCTAGGCTTACATACAAAATAATAAGATTGGGTTGGGTGGGGTATGGGGCTAGCAAAATGTAGGGCCCCCAGATTTTTAGAAATGGCTCTAACTGCTTTACTGGGTTAAAGTGAGTTACATTAGTGAGGGTTAAACTTGAGCAAAAGGAAAAGGGAGATGCAGAAGTTTCATCTGACATTTTCCAGAGAGTGTTGATGTATATCCTTACTCAGTTCTTTTGGCTGGTCTTTTCCTTTGTGCACATTTGTGGAGACAATGAACAAGTCTTGTCCTTGACACAATAGATTCGCCTACAGATTTATCCTTACAGCCTCTGTCCATGCAGAAAGTGTAATTACGGGCACATACAGTGGCTCTGTAGCCATTAAAACGCTCATCAGTAAGGGTAGCGGGTTTCTCTGGAGTGTGGGGGCGTCAGCAAACAAATGCTACAACAATGAGTTCCTCTCGAGTGCAGCGGCAGGCCCACGGGCCAGATAGAGAGAAAAAGAGAGAGAGAACCAGAGAGAAAGAAAGGGAGAGAGAGAGAGAGAACGAGTGGCAGAGAACTGCCTCGACAGCTGGCCATCATGTTCACGCTCTACACACACTGGTCTGCTCATTCAGACGTGCTGCATCTTCTGCTGCCTGAACAAACACAGCCAGCTATTGTTCTTCTGCTATTGTTCTGGTGCTGTAAAAGTTCTGCTAATGATAAGGTTGGTGTAATGCATTGATTAGTGTACGTGTATGGGTGAGGGGAGTGATTTAACCCCTTCAACTCCAAAGACCCATGGTTTTATTTAATCACTGAATACTCCATACCAGTTACTGGCTGATAACAATTCAACAATAACCTTAGAGCTTCAAGAGTTAAACTATGATCAGAACTCGTTTGAAATGATATGTTTCAGAACAGCAATCAGGTTGTTATTATTTCCAGTGAAGCCGATGTCTGTGCTGTATCTCCCATATGGTGTCTCATCATGTTTGTTGTGTGTTTTCTGGCAGGATGAACGAAGAGCAGATTGCCACAGTGTGTCTATCTGTGTTAAAAGCCCTCTCGTACCTCCACACGCAAGGCGTCATCCACAGAGACATAAAGAGTGACTCCATCCTTCTGACTAGTGATGGCAGGGTGAGTCTGTTGCTCATTTGCTGCATCTCAAAAAAACAACTGCAGCGATCATAAAAAGACAGATTTAGACCAATATATTTTGTCCCCCAAGGTAGGAATAATGTAAATGTACCCTCAAAGTCACAAGAAGGTCCTTGAGACCCAGTATTGTATCTTCATTGAGTTTTAAAGGCACACTACATTCACTTTCCCTTGGAAAAGGGGCATATTTCTATCATTTCACAACTCAGCCTTTTTAAATAGACAAGTCAAGACAATCAAACAATCAATCAATCAATCAATCAACCAATCAATAAATAAATGTAAGTACAATGGAATATGGTACACTTATTGTAAATTAAAAGTACTCTGAAGTGCCCTTGAGGGTGTCACCCCAGTTACATCATTTGTGTCCAAAAAAGTACAGTTTGACAATAATTTTTTTATGAGAGAGCCTATAGAATAGCTGCATAAAACACATAGTAACAAATAGTTGATTGGATGTTGGACCATTGTGACATTATATTATTTTGTTAATTTATGTTTATCAATTACTTGATTTGCTCCTCTTCCTTCTTGTATAGGTTATGTTTGAATAAAAAACCTATAAAATGTCATCACTGTTCAAAAACATCTCCAGAATTTTACTGGAAAGGGCAAAACAGTCTTTAGCTTTGACGCATATTCATGTAATGAGATTTTTAAAGATTTTTTGGAACAATTATTGGTCCATTCATTAAGAAAATCTGACTCAGTGTAAAGGACAGCTGCACTGCTCAAACGGTGTAGAAACATAAAAACTGAAAAAATGGAGATACATGGTTTGTTTTTTTTTTATCGCAATGATGTGACACTCCTGTTTTAACTTGTTTATAAATGCTACACTTTTAATTTTAGCACTAACCAAGTCGAAGTACATGACATTTTTATTCTGTTGTTCAGTTACGTTCACATTACAATCCTTGTTAACCAGTGTTGATTTTTATGTGTTGACTGTTCACATTGATGTCTGTAAGTGACCCATATCTGTCATTAGAGTGGACATACCGCCAACCTGGAAAAGCCATGCATGCACACGTTTTCAAAATCAGTTATGCTGTGTGCAAGATCCATATGCAACATGAACAGGCACAAAAATGCCAAATATGCAAGAACATGATTGCAGTAATAACCTTACAGCATTACAAATTAAGCTAACAGCAGTTTTTAAAAATAAGAAAAGTTTGATGTAAAAAAATGAATTTTGATCTGATATTTCTTGTCATGGTCACATTGCCATGCACCAGATATGTATCTAATGAATGACATCTAAAAATGACTCAGATCTGTTTTGAAGGGATTTTTGTGTTCACACAACTCAGATCAGAGTCACATTGAGACAAAAAGGATTTGTTCTACTTCAAGCCTGTAATGTGAATATAGCCTTCATGGCAGCATCAGGACCACCATGTGATAGTACACACTGCAAATGTGAAATCATTGGAATCATTTGAAGTCAGCAGATTTGCTCTGATTGATCACAGAATCTCATTGATACCTGGACAGTCCTGCAAAGATACAGACTAGTGTTGGACAGTGAGTCACAGTGTGCAGACCCTCAGTGTTTTTTCAGACAGGAGAGGAAAAGTAATCAAGGCTAATTACCAAGTTGGAGAATTAAGAGTAATTGAATCTTGTCACCCAACTCCTAATTAGGTGAAAGGACATAACGAATTAAGGAGTGATTACGTGCTAATAAGCCACAAATTTTGCCCTACATGTGACCTCATTACCAAGAAATGTCCCATTATAGTGCCATGATTTAAACCATGAAAGTTTTTAAATTGTCTATTATTTTACTTATTATTATACTTCTTGTTCTTTGTAGTCACTCTCCCTGTTATTTATTTAGATAAAGCTTTCTGACTTTGGCTTCTGTGCCCAAGTCTCAAAAGAAGTTCCAAAGAGAAAGTCCTTGGTTGGCACACCGTACTGGATGGCACCTGAGGTCATCTCCAGATTGCCCTACGGCACAGAGGTAAGCAGAAGTACGACTGTTGGTAAAAGTGGATGTTTGTATTGTTTGTCTCGTTGTCTATGTTACATTCCACCCCAGCTTTTATGCACTGTGGTTTATGTAATGCCCCAGATTATAACAGATACCCATGACTGAAAATGAATGTCCTGAACATAAAATGAGCAGATGTTTGACATACTTTTCTAGGTGGATATTTGGTCTCTGGGGATCATGGTGATTGAAATGGTAGATGGGGAGCCACCCTACTTCAACGAGCCTCCACTGCAGGCCATGAGGAGAATACGGGACAACCTCCCCTCCTCGGCTAAAAGAATCGCACAAGGTGAGGGCTTAGTGGCTTTAAAGGGGTGCAAAGGACTGTGGAGCTTTAAGTGAATATTCATATTTACAGAACTCTCCCCATGCCCTAAATGTCGATCAGCCAAGATGTTTGGTGTCTAAAGGTTTGCTTCTTTAGTTGTAACATGCAAATTGCCTAACTAAATAGTCACACACTCAAATCAAACTACACTGAGCAGTAGCCAACATGAGGACCGAATTTTTCTGTGCTTTTTTCCGTTTCTATAGGTAAAAGTATTTTAAATAGAAATCTGTAATTTGTTAAAACGTCAAATAATTTAACACCATTAATTTTTTTTGTTGTGCTGCTAAGGCATTTTCATAGTTTGACCCTTCAGACCATCTACAGTAGGGCAGGCTGAAGCCCAGCTGCTCGTGTGATGACCCTGAAACTGTAGCTTATTCAAATACAGCTTTTAAATGGCACGTTCTGTTGACAGCTCCCCTGACTTCATTTCAAGCTACTACAGTGGTGAATTTGTTTATCAGTGATGTACAGCAAGTCTGAAGTGTCATTTACAAGCAAAACACAGCACTGATGCTGAGAATACCAGTAATTCAGCAGACTATGCTGAACAGTACTGAACAAAGAAGACTGATAAATCAACCAGAAAGAGAATGAGAGTGAGAGTGAGAGGCTGCAATCATGAAGGAGTTGGACCCTTTGACTGTATACATGATAAATATGATACATACTAGGGGTGGGAATCTCTAGGCACCTCACGATTCGATTCGATTACGATTCAGAGGGCTGCGATGCGATTATAAAACAATTATCGATGCATCTCGATGCATCTTTTTTTTCTATATAGCATTTATATTTTCTCACTGTGTGAGCTCAAGTTTCGAGTTCAAGTTTCAAGTTTATTTGCCATTTGCACAACGTCAGGACATTTATGCATTGAAATGCTTGTGGTGAGGCTCAGATCACTCTACAGAAAGTAAATAAGTAAAAATAAAAATACAAGAAAAACCAACTGAAATATATTAAATATACACAAAATATACACAGAATATACACAGAATATAGAGACAATATACATTTTAAAGTGACTAAGTAACTCGGTGTTATTGTTATTTAAAGTGACTTGGTACTTTTAAAGCAAAGTATTTGTAATGATCCATAATGAATTTACTTCCAATATCTTTTAAAATAAATCAAAAGGAAGTGATGTGGCAAGTGAACTAGAAGGCTCTCATTCAGTGCTCTTGTTTGGAGCACGAGAAGCTGCTGCTACTCATCTGCGATAAAATGCGCAGTTACGGTGAAATAAGATCCAGTGGCAGTGGACGTCCACGCAGCACATGTTACAGCTATTCTACCCGTTTTCTTTAGTGATTTTATAACTTCGGTTTTGGTCTCGTTGTAGAGACGGGGGGGGGGGGGCGCGAAACATAGTGCGAAAGCCCTGTTTCGCTACGACTGAGAACTGCAGGTCACATAGCAGCGATGCGTTATTCACATTTATAAGCAGCGCAGTTGGTTTCCTGGTACGTTAAATCTGCAATGAGAGACTGTGAAACGCTAAAAGTGGCAAAGCTGAAGTCGCTTCTCTTTTGAATTCTCCCGTTCCACCTTAAATGGTGCCACATTTACATTTGGCGCCTCAGTTAGAATTTAAGGTGGAACAGGTAAATTCGAACAAGAAGCTGGAGAATAAGAAGCGACTTCAGCCTCGTAAAACAGTCGAACGTTGAGAGACATTTAACTGATCAACTTCTGAGGAAAAGTTTTCTGGCGGAGATGGGAGGAAAGCGGCTATAGGCTAAAGCTTAAAGCAGAGCGAAGTAAATCTGCATTTTCGTTTATATTGTTTAGTCTATACTAGGACGTTAGCACATACTGAGACATACTGGACATTAAATGTTGTGGCTCCCAAGGTGGTTTGACTTTTTTGAAAGGACAAAATGTTAATATTTGTGTTGTGACTCCTGACCTGACCCGGCTTTTAATGCAGAGGGAGCCGGTCGGATTTCTCGCTCTTCCAGTTGTGTTTTTGTTATGTGCCGCCACAGACTGTCCGGGCGCTGCACTTCCGCACTTCCAAGTTCCGCCTTTTGCGTTTCGTCAACATTACGTTATAATGTAATTAAATATTTAGAAAATCAATTTTTGACATTTGTGAATTGATTCAGAATCGTTCACGTCCGCATCGCGATGCATCTAAGAATCGATTTTTTTCCACACCCCAAATACATACACTCATTGGTTGGAACATGCAATTGCTGTTACACTCACTGGAAGTCACTGATGAAAATGATTGAAGTTTAATATTGAATTTATTCTTTCTACTCCTGTAGCTGTAACAAAATTCACATTCAATTTAAATTGTTTTTAAATGTAAAAAATCTTTCGGGTCTAACTGAAGCAATTAAATCAAACGTGATTAATTGCATTAAACTGCACAAGAGAACTTGATTACTCTGGATTAATTATTGTAATCATTTGCCAGCGCTACTATATAGCTATATAACTATTTGGGGTTTAAGGTTTAAGGCAGGTGTGCAATAATTAAGCATACGGCTTGCATTATTCCAGTTAATATGGTATATGCTCCTGTTATTTGTTAGCTAAATTAGCCTCCATTGCAAAACTAAAGATGCAATATTGGAGACCAAACATGTCTTAGCTGAAAGGCTAAATTTGGGGTAATGGGGGAGTTATGTATTTTTTGGTGCCAAACTATTCTTCTAATACTGCATTTAACTTTCTATAGAAATCAAGTCTTCTTGTATGTTCAACAATTCCTGATGTTTGTTTTCACATCTGCTCTCCTTCCTCAGGTTTCATCAGTGCTCAGAGCATTTTTGGACCTGATGTTGGTGAGGGAACCTTCACAGCGCGCTACGGCACAAGAACTCCTCCAGCACCCCTTCCTCAAGCTCTCAGGCCCCCCATCCTGCATAGTGCCTCTGATGAGGCACTACCGGCACCGCTGAGCTCCAACCAGCAGGGCAGCGACAAACCTCACCTAGTGCAACATACTGAGATACCCGATCATATGTAACTTGTGGATAAAAGACACTGACACCTGTAACCGTACGTAGTTTAGATGAAACAAAAGCAAACAAGAAAGCATCTATTAATACAAAACAAATAAATAAATAAAGAAAACCACAGTGAGGTGGATATATTATGGGCCTCTAGTAGAGCCGCTGGGTGTTCGACTCTAAGTCTTTATTAGACAGCTAGTGAAAACTCTGTGGGGGTGACGTGTCTGGTGCAGTTTTTTTTCTCTCTCTAGGCTGTGCGTCCTGACTCCCTGTCTAGAGTCGTGCTGTAGTAGCCGCAGACTAGAGCTTAGGGCAGCGCGAAGCAGCGGTCAGCAGGCCAGGCTGAGGAGCTGACAGGCCGCGGGTGATCGATGGCCACAAGCCCCAGCCGGAGGAACACTAGAGATGGTGTATTCAGGAGAGATAACAGGCTGGGGGAGGAGGAGGGGAGGGCCGAGCGCCAGATTTTTACGTTCGATAGAGGACACGAGGCTGTTACACTACTGAGGGACAAACGTCTTTCTTTTTTTTCACTTTTCTCTTCTTCTCACACTAACAATGAAAATGTATTTTAGAGGAATTGTAAGTTTTTCTGTACAGTTTTGATAATCGGCAGTATTTTGTTGTGATGTAACCATTGTGATATGGGCAGTATTAAATAGAATCGAAGAGTTTCTGCGAGAGATCTTTCCTACTGTTTATAATCCATTTTTTGACTAAGAAATGAAAATATCCTCACTAAACACAACCCTTAACTGTTGGAGAAACCTGAATATATTTATTTATCCTACATTTGTAGACAGAACTTCCAGTCAGTGCAAAGAGAGGTGTTGCCAGAATTTTGTATGCTGTTTTAAAGTATTATTTATTTTTGAACTGAAGGTTTATTTTTCAGTAGTGTGGCCTTTTTTGTTTCATTATTGTTCTCGTTTTGAATAACTACAAAAAGAGCGATGTTGGCTGTATCATCCAAGCAGGCTGTATCAGACAAGCAATAATCCAACTGCTATTTATTATCGTGATATCAAACGCTTGCGCACTGGTGATGGCACAATTTTCTTGTGATTCAAGGGAAGACGCCTAAAGGTCTTTCATTTTTAAACCACTGACACATGGCTACTACCTTTAAGAATTCATACTCATTCAAGAAGCACTCACCTTAAAACCTAGCAATATTGACAATGTTTTTGACGACGCATTTTCCTTTCAGTACTGAGCTCCCTGTAAGTGGCACCACATGTGTGACTCAGCCTCTGGTCCGGTTTTTCTCCCATTAGTCACTGTGATCTGTAAATACCAACATCAACGTGTCTGCTTCTGGCAAAACCTGATGAACGGTCGGGCTCGAATGAGTATACCTAACTGTAGTGTCGCTTGTACAGTGATCTTGCATGTGTGTCATCAGTAAAACTGGTTTCAATAAAAAAAGAGGAAACAGAAATGGCTGCAGCTTTCTTTTGAGCACCATTTGAAGCGTGTTATTTAATTTGTGTGTAGGTCTAGCGTGTAAACCTCTTATGTGCACCCAGCTTGCAGGTTAAGAATAGCAGCATCATTTGCACCGTGCCAATTAGAAATATAATTAAGTAGGTGCACAGCACATGATTCACATTCAAACATTAGCATTTAGAAAAGGTGGAAATGAATGGTAACTGTACTTTTGAAACGATTTGCTGCATGACTCATTTAGCTGGTTTATTATCTCATTACATTTAACACAAAAACTATGGTAGGATTGCACTTTATATTAACTGTGTATTTTATATTACAATTTAGTTGTACAAATCGGTTTTATAAGTATTGTAGTTACTTAAGGCTGGCAGTACAGTCCAAATACAGAACTGTGCAGTCAGAGACCACCCTTCATTTATTAAATTTCTAGTCAAAACAGCTATTAACAAGTTTTTTGTTAAGATATTTCTAAGTAGAATACATTCACTTGTGTACGGAAGGAGCAAGTCAAAGGAAAATAAGTGGGGAAAAAACAGGAGTTCCCAAAACTAGAGTTATATATTATAGAGTTATAAAAATATATTAAAAGATATTAAGAAAAAGAGACCCATAACTACTATATAAGACCACCAGCACTGTCACCATCACTTAAACAGTATTTAAAGCTTTCATCTTTGAGAGGAGAAAATCAATCTCTTGCTTCAGATCTGAAAAAATCCACAGATGTGTCTGTCCATCCTTTCACTGTGAGAAGACAACTCAACACTGAGTTTGAAAGGTTGTATATAGTCAAGAAGCCCTTACTGAGAAGAGAAAAAAAAATTAATCAAACAAAGAAGCTGCTGGTGGAACAATGGACTGACCACCTCAGAGCCCAGACCTCAACATCATTAAATGTGTTTGGGATTATCTGGATCATGAAAAGAAGACTGAACTTCAGAGGTGTGGAAAAATATCCCTGCAGATGTTTTGGAAAAACATGTCTTTCGACAAGAATAAAGGCAAAAGGAGGACATACTAAACTGTAAAAAAAAAAAATTGTTGTTGAGGCTTCTGTTTAATTTTCTGGTAAATATGTTCTTTTTTTCTAATATTGAAAAATGAATAACTGGAAATGAAATAAATGGTCTTCAGCACAGTATTGTGTTTTTCAATAGCACTATTTTTGCTCCAGCCTTGAGGAGTTTTTTTTTGTTCAATGTTAATGATAATACAGGCGCTTCATGGACTTGGTATGAATGATAGTGTCATAGTTCATGATGCCAACACCAACACAGGCGTAGCAGGCCATCTACTTTCAGTTAAGCCACTTCAGCTCACATTTCCAATACAAGCTTGGAGTTGGATCGATACTCCATCTCACCCAGCCTCGGAAACAGCGCACAGCGTGTGAGCATTAATTACTCCTCTCATCCTCTACTATTGATTGTCACTTTGTTTTCCACTGTGTACTCTGTGTGATGTGCTTGGGAAATATTTAATAGTGAGTTACTTTAGTTGTTTTGCTGACAGCCCAACATTGATTTTTCATTTATTCACGTTTTTTTCTTCATTTATACCACTGTATGTGTTCAAAAGAAAGAACAAAAGAAGAAATTTAAAGAAAATCTCAACATATGAAGTAATAAAATATAGGACTTTGTGACAAGCCATTAAAACAAAACCAACAAAAACTACTGAAGTGTATGAAACGTGTCTAGACTGTAAAGGATCTGTACTAGAGAAATGGACACACATAAAATTATTTATTATTGAATATCTTTTGCACACAAAATGTTGCATGTTGTTTAACTCTTCATTGCATCAGCCATATGGCATGGTAAATCTTAAAATAGCTTCATTGTATAGCCTCTGTATCTTCATAATAGAACTGTAATATCTTTAGTTTGGCACACTTCACACTGATTGACATTGGTATGGCACACTATGAAATATTCAATCTATGTGTCAAATATAGCAATGATTTGTTTGGTACATATTTTTCATTACACATGTGCAAAACCGTAAATAAACCTACTAACAGAAACCGAGGAATGGACCCAAACGTGGGATGCAGGGATCAGAACGTCGGGCAGTAGACGTAAAAGCTGGGGAAGCTCATAAGGTCTTGGGACAGCGAGGTGTAGTGTTTGCAGGTACTGGCCCGTTCCCCTGATGGCAGGCGTGGACCACGGTGCATAGAGAGTCTTTACATGTTCTTGTAGAGGGAGCGGTCCCGGGGCAGCTGGGGCTGGTTCGCGGTCAGTTTGAGGTGGAAGTGGTAGACGGTGATGGTGATCACAATGATGAGGCCCAGGATGAGACCCAACACCAGTGGCAGAGTCTCCTCCAGCCGCTCCCGCTGGTCCGTGATGCACTTATACGCTGCATTAGGACAGGACAGGACTCGTTAATGCACTGCCATTCGTATATATGAACAGCTACAGTACTATAAACACACTAAGCTACAGTCTGAGGTTTCATTTATGTACTGCTCCAAAGGACACAAGCTTTTCCACACATCATTACTGGACATAACATACAGGCTCTTTAAGGCTTCAGAGTTGTTCCAACATTTTAGAAATGGGTCTTACAATAACCAGTAACACTTTATTTAAAGGCTACCTACATTGGGACTTCATTACATACGCATAAGCACTGAATAGCATATTTATGAAGCAATACTTAAATATTTTTGAACAGCATATGTCAATATTCACAAGATGGCAAGATATTTGATGAATTAAATGACATTATATTGGCCTCAAACTGAAGTGACATTCCATTTATAACACTGTTATTAAGCATCATTCTCAGGTAATGGAACTTTTCCTGTCAGAGGTCTAATTTATAGACCTCTGACTTGAACTGCTTTATAACAGTGTTATAAATGCAAGAGCTGTCCATCACTTTAGCTTAAACTGACATAAGCTGTTTATAAATACTCATTCTTTCTTTTTCAGTACCTCTCTCCCCTATGTTCTATCCTATGTACTCTCTCATTGTATACAAATGGCTCCAGTGTACTGGGAGCCAATGCTTTCTCAGGGCCTTTGTATCATCTGTCACACCTTCATCCTCCAGTGGAGTTCAGTAACCCACTCCTCCACACACCCTGCCATTTGAGGCCAGTTCCAGGACGTTCTCCCACTGTTAGACCACTCATACAGCTGCAGTAAGAGGATTACCTTTACAGCAGCTCTACCGATACACTCAGAGGATTAGAGCGCCACCGCTGTAAACAATTAGACGTCTAATTGAAATGCCTCATTGAGCTCAGAATTAATAATGGACGTGTGTGCTTCTGCGTGAGAGGTGTCACACTCACACGCTACTGACCTAATACAGAAATATCAAGGGAGGAGACATCAATTAGCTTTGCATTACACAACAGCCTGTCCATTCCAAACATGCACTATCAGCACTTGTTACTTTCTCACAAACAAAGAGGGTGGACGATAAGGGTCAAACGTGGCATGTTGTTTTGGTGGGCGTGGTGGAAACGAGCTTGTAAATCTCGTAGGTTTAAAGGGGACAAAGCCGACAGCCTCATTAACTGGAGGAGACAGGCCCGCCAATAAATTCATAATGACCCCACGCTGCGGCCCCTGCTCTTCACACACCGATAATCTCCCCTC